GCATCAAATTAAATGGAATGATAGTCTGTTAATTGTGGACCTACAAACTCGAAAATAGCCGTGGGTACTTACGAAACCAAGTTACTATAATTAGAGAGCAGTAGTTTCGGTAAGATTAACACAAACAAACACTTACTCAGATTCGAGAGTAGAGTGCTCGAGGAGTCGTGGAAGAAGCACCTACTCATTGGGGGACAATTTACAAACCACCAGAAATAATAATAAACATTTTGCATACATACAAATATATGAAATCAGAAATATTAAAGCTAATAAACTAAAAACGAAAAATATTTGGTTTAGTCATTTACTATCATAAAAGTGAGAAACTCAACTCGTCTGGGGTTGATAGAAAATAAATAATACATGCCATGATAGCTTTAAATGGAAACAAAAACGAAGACTGATAGTGAATGAACTAATGAAATATCTAAAAATCCGTCTGAAAGAAAATTGTCTATGGATGATATATAAGCGCTTGGTACGTGTAATAAGTATTATATGCGCCAAAATCTGATAACTTAAAACTCAAATGTTTAGCAAACCACGATATATATTGTCAACTATGCAAAATAATTAGTTAAAAAGGGTCAGATGGTAAGATTGTAAAAAAATGAACTCATTTATGCAGGGCGACAGATTTGCAAGGAAGAGTCGATCTTTAATTCTTAACTAACCATCTCAACCAGTTGCCGGCAGCGCAGTTGAACCAGGAGCTCAGGGTATTGATCAATCACCTGGGGGTAGAGGCGGTTTAACGTGATTGCTGCTCTGCCGTATTGACATCGTCGACAAAGGGCACGAAGCTTACGTCGGTGTAAGATACTGGCCAGACCTGGCAGCTGATTATTATCTTGAGTGGACGTATTGGCCTTGGTATCGCTAGGTTCCTTCTCAACTTCTTTCAAGCTTATATTCGCTTGAGGTTTTTCAATGTTTTCGGGATTATTGGGAATGACATTTGCACTATTAATAGAAGAATTAATTGATGACAAACATAGAGCATCAACTGGCTCAGCCATCTCTACATCAAGAATACCGCTTGTCTCAGAAATATGAAGTGCCAATGATGATGGAGGATTGGCACTATCAGTGGCCCCAACATTAGAGAAAGCCTCAACATGGGAAAGACTGTTTGTGATAGATTCCCTGTTTGTAGAGGAAGATCGAAGAGTACACAGTCCACCAGTAGGATTGTCTAATGTTGAACTATTTATAAGATCGGGTAGAGAGAGAGAAGTCGACGGAGGAGTATTTGTTGCCATATTCGTCCAGCGCTGAAAAGTCCGTGCAGTAGAGACGTAACCATGATGAACTAAATAGCCTGCAACAAGCCTTGTTAAAAAAATATCACTGAATTACTAATAAAAAAATGATATACCTAAAGAATTTGAACATTTTGCAAGGAAGAATTGTAAGTCCAAAGTGAGAAACAAAGCATAAAATACTAATTTTAGGCTTCACAAATTCGGGGCTTGATAATCAAAAGTAAAGCAGGAAACAAATAGTGAGGAGAAAATATAATAATTTTAGGGATTATCAGTTAATCTTAAGTATAAACTTCAG